CACAATCTCTGCTGCCATCTGAGAAATTATTTCTGATTTCATTTTTTCCAGATCCTCTTTTGTTGCCAGTTCAGGGAGACCAGGTGGTTGAGTATCAGAGTGTTCCATCTTGTTTCCCTTTGGGATTACTGTAGGTGATCTGGAAGTCTGGTTTTGAGACTTATTTACATGTCTTCTCATTTCAACGGGGGTGGGGGAGTGCTGCTGGTGCCCTCATGGCTCACCTCCTCTGTGCTGGCAGGGGTGGTATGGCAGCATGGAAGCCTCCTCTTGTGTGCTCAATTCTAGGTGTTTTTCATGTGTTCAACACTGTTTGTATCAACTAGAAAAGAAACATCTGGCAATGTTTTCAACCATCTAAGAGAATTTGGCCAATCTATCATTTCTTCTCGGAATAGTATTCTCCAAATTATGATGAAATCTCCTCTTTCTTTAACCCTGTACTCTGTTCCCTCCCTTCTGGCTATACAGTTCTGATGTAGAAGATGTGATGGTGAAGTGGATAACTTTAACCCGAAACTGCCTCAGAGAAGACATCACATTACTTGGAGCCGTTTGCCAACCAGCCACAAATGCACTTTCATCTATTCTAGTTAGATGAAGCAAGAATTTTAAATTATTTTAATACAAAGTAGCAATGATTAAGGAGTATCATCTTCAAAGCCTAATGAATTGGGGACCTGTTGGCATTGGAGTTCTCATTTCTGTACAGTTCATTCTTTGACCTCTTTTTATCATTCACTTATTTATTTATTTAACAAACATTTATTGAGAACTTATTGTGTGCCAGGCACTGTTTTAGGACTTGGAAGCAGTGGTTAACACAACAGCCAAAGATCTAATCTCAAGCGGCTTTATACTTATGGAAAAAGATGGGCCAAAATGACCAGCCCAATTGAGTAGACTTTGAACTTGGAAACTGTAATTCTTTGTTAATAAAGATCAGGTGGTACGTTTCTTTTTCTTTTTTTTCTTTTTTTTTGTTACTGGGGATCAAATTTGGGACCTTGCGCTTGTGAGGCAGGCGCTGGAACCACTGAGCTAAATCACCAGCCCAAGACAGTACATTTCTTAGCTGCATTCTAGTGTCGGTTCATATGGAGTTCACGAAAGGTAGAATTCCTCAGCTCTTTAAATGATTTTATGTTAGCATATATGCAGTTGATTTTTAAAAATAGACTTTATATTTTGGAGCAGTTTTAGATTCACACCAAAGATGAATGAACAGAAAGCACAAAGAGATCCTATACAGTCCCTGCCTCCATACATGAATCCCCTCCCCCCTTATGAACATTGCCACGATCAGGGTTGACTCTTGTGTTGTACATTTCATGGATGTTGACAAATGTATAAATATATTTAATAATATTATCTTTTTTGTTTTGGCTGGATCAGGGATCAAACTCAGCTTGAGCTTTCAAGGAGGCACTGCAGCACTTAGCTAAATCCCTGGACCAACAACAGTATCTTTTTTTTGGTAGTGGGCATCAAACTCAGGACCTTGCACTTGCCAGGCAGGTGGTAGAAACACTGAGCTAAATCCCTGGCCTCCCAACAATAGTATCTTAAAGAATGGTTTCAACTTCCTAAAAATCCTCTGTATTCCACCTATTCATTCCCCCATCTCCTCTAACCCCTGACAACCACTGATTTTTTAATTATCTGCATAGTTTTGCCTTTGCCAGAATGTCATATAGATACAGTCATTGCCCCTTTTAGATTGGCTTGCTTCACCTAATCATATGCATTTAGGACCTCCATTTCCTTTCATGACTTGTGTGTGTGTGTGTGTGTGTGTGTGTGTGTGTGGAGGGGTAGCTAGGGATTGAATCCAGGACCTTCACACTGAGTTATATCCTCAGCCCTATTTTGATTTTTTTATTTTGAGACAGTGTTTTACTAAGTCACTAAGTTACCCAGACTGGGTTAGAACTTGTAGTCCTCTTGCTTCAGCCTTCCAGGTTTCTGGGATTATAGGCATGCACCACCACACCTAGCTTTTTTAAGGTCTTTTAGCATTGACTAATATTCCATTGCCTAGGTGTACCTTAGTTTATCCATTTACCTACTGAAAGACATGGCTGCTTCAAATTTAAAATTGATTTTTAAAATTTTATT